TGTGTGTGTGTGTGTGTGTGTGTGTGTGTGTGTGTGTAATAGTATTAAATATTTTAATATTAAATATAATTAAATTATTAATAATTATTAAGATAACATAATTTTTGTAAATAATAGAACAATAGATGATATTGCTTGGCAGGACAGGATTTTATGTAGCTTATACTTTTTCATTTTTCTTAATTGAATTTATATCTACAAATTCATAATAATTGCTTAATATCGCGAACTACGCGCCTTATCATTAACGAATGCTTCTAATGCAGTAAAATTATATTCTTGAATTGATAATCAAACTTGAAAATCGATTACATCCCCGTTTCTCCCTTCTCATTATTTTTTGTATTTTTGTGTATATATAACACTTATATAACACTTTTTATTTGCCCCAATTTATTTTAAATTTGTTTTAAATTTATTTAATACTTGATACAAATGTAACGTGATATAAAAATCTGACTTATATAATTATATTTTATATATTATTAATAAAATGAAAATAATCTTATACAAAAAAATAACACAAAACCAAAAAGATAAAATTTATGTAGATAAATATGATAATATACGTATTCGTGATATATAAATTTTTATGTGAAAGTTTTGTTTATTTATTTATTATTTTATTTAAATAGATTGCAATTGGTGTTGAATCAATCACACGTGCGAATGAGATAAAAGAAAAAAGCAAGCAAGGCATTCAAAGCAAATCTTGATCTCTTTTTCTCCCTCCCTCTTTACTCCCTACTGCTCTTTCATTCTGTGTGTTTTCCCTTAACCGAACGCGACAAATTGAGATAAATAACGATTTGTGGCGATACAAAGCTCACTTGAGATTCATCTTGGTGATACTCGAAACAGCACGCTCCCAAGTAGTTGCGGATAGATAAGCAAATGAAACGATACATACTCAAGTTACATATAATATGTTCCACATAAGTGATTCGATAAAGCAAAACAAAAATTTTTTTTAAAAACCATCATTTTTTAAAAATTATTTTAGGAAAAATTAATGTAAATTTCCGCAATTAAACGTAAATTTGAATCATTTTATTTATTAAATAAGTTGAAATCCGTCACCAAATGAAAAAAATTAAAAATAATTTGTTTATCTCTTATTTTAAAATTTTTTGTTAAAATTTCGTTGTTAAAATTTTATTTTAAAATAATATGTAAAATAGTCTGGACTAATGTGTGTATGTTCGTACACAAAAGACTGCAGATAAAGAGTATAAAAAAACCATATATAATTTTTGCAGATTATAAAAAAATCATACATGATTTTTTATAATTTTTACCTGCAGTCTTTTGCCATATTAATTTCGAATCAATTTTTTGCCACATGTAAAACAAGCGAGTTTTTCACTGAAAGATCAATCGATGGTAGATTTCCATATAAGATTCATCGTTTCATATTCTCACAGGTCTAATCCCAATTATATATCAATGAATCGCTTGGTAGGCCTGCCAATAATAATCCGGCGATATCTTCGGTGAAGTTCGACCGCGAGCCCTTTCTCACTCCATTCGTTTCAATAAGGACAAAACTTTATCTCGTTCGCGTGTAGTAGATTAGTACAACCCCGGCGAACCATCATTGTGATCGTATTAACACCTCGCATAATTGCACCACCGCGCTTCTATCATCGCGCGTGCACTAAACATAGCTCATTTGAATATTGGCCCATTCATACTGTTGGGAACGCCAATAATCGCGCTCTTGTAAGGAACATTACCACCACGAACTGATCGATTCGAGCATTTCGTATTCTCTATATAACGTAGACAAAATTTCCTCAGATTGTTTTAAACAATTTTAGAAAAATAAATCTTAACATTTAACGTGTTTAAATTAAAACATTTTTGCTTGTTATTTTTTGTAAAAAAGGAAGAAACAAAAACAATGACTATGTATCGCGATAGAATGTACATCAACTGTATGGATTTATGTTAATTTAACGATAGAATATTTTTTTAAATGAGATGATAATAATATAGAATTAATAACATAGAAATTTTGTTAAAATATTTTCATATAAGGTTTCCCAAATAAGTCTACATTAAATATCTAATATAAATATTTATCTTTTTAATAAAATAGAAATAGAAAACAAAAAGTTCTAAAACTTTCTATAAAAATTTAATATTAATAAACTAATGATTATTTATTTGACCATGAAAAGCGATATTAACTATGAACAGCATATTAATCTCATTAATATCTAATGAGTCAATTACAAAGCTCGTAATGATAATAAGTATTATAACACAACACTTAGAGTTACCATAACTAAGTATTTCCTTATGATTTATATAAATATTTGAATACTAATGTATAAAAAATAGTTTAGTAATAATTATAAGTGATAAAAATAATCTAATAATAAAATATCTATGAAAAGCAATGCTATGAATGAAATTACCGATTAAACGTTTTTGTCAATATTTAAATATAAATTGTTTTAATCAACAAACTCGTATTTATATTCTACAAAATATTGTAGTTTTTTGAGGCTCGAACGATATTTAAGAGCAGTTTTATTTATCTATCGTAAATAAATAAATAGATTAATTTAAAGTACATTAATCGTGAAAATTCATTTATTTTTTTGTATTAAAATTTTATGCATTCAAAACAAGTTTTATACAAAATATCATTAACAAAGACAGCTACTTATATCTGCCTATCTCTTTATAATATCTTATAACACCTAAACTGAGAGAGAGAGAGAGAGAGAGAGAGAGAGAGAGAGAGAGAACTCTACGTAATCATTTCATTTAAATATATCCTGTGTATCTCTAAAGGTGCGTAGCCAGTTAATAATTTTTAACCAATTAACTGTGAATGTAAGTAATTATATTTTATTCCGCGTTTTGTCTAAAATAATAAAGAATTCAGATAAGTATGCATGTGTGCGTGCATTTAGTCACTATTTTATAATAACTTTCTTAATCGCAGTTCCTAAATTCATAATCTGATGTGTTTAAAAAATAAAAAGACACATTTCATATATATTGATCGAATAAAAAAATTAAGCACATTGGATTAATACTCGTATTATTTTTTCATCAACATCAGTGATCAATGTAATATGTGATACAAAAATTATTGAAATATTGTTAGTATTAATTATTATATAAATTTTCTAGTAATTCTTAATATTAAATTTTTTTAAAATAATAATAATAATAATTGAAATAATTAAAAATTTATATTTAAAATGAAAAAATAAGAAAAATATTCAATATCTGTAATAAATAAATTTGGAACTGAAAAAGAACAAAAAATTAATTCAATAACAAACATGAAATAATTACAATAAGATGAGTATTTAGTTATATACTACCAATTTATAACGAATTCTGGTATTTAGTGTTCTACAATTCGAAAAGAAAATGTTTTCTAACTGATATATTTATATAATCTTTTTTTTTATTATGATAAGCACAATATACTCACAAAGTTTGAGCTATTTGTAATCTATTTTTTGAAGTTAGAATGCTATCTCTTGTAAAGGAATTAATTTCATGTATGCTAAATCAATGCGAGGGCAAAAAGCGAAAAAGTGAAAGAAAAAAAGAGGAGAGGAAGAAAGGGAGAGAAAGGGAGAAAGTTTGAGCCAAAGAAAGAGAAAAAAATAATTTTCAATCAAAAGAAAACTTCCAATATTTCATTTACGCTTGGCGAAATTGAAAAACTATTCGGTCACCCCTTGCTACGTTCCTTTCGTTTTCCTTGCGAATAAATCTGCCCCCGCGTCTGCAGTTGAGATGACGACGAGCAATAATGGGTGGGGACAAATAAAATTTCTGCAGGGGTGCGTCCCGTCGTTCCATCCGGCAAAAGATCCCATTTCTCGTTGGAGCGTCCGCCCGCCAATCCCGTGCACGTCTGATAGTTGCATCCAACATGTATCTCGACTCGCCATTGGTCACAAACCCGCCCAGGGGTTGGTATTGATCATCCCTCACGCAAGCCCGGCGCTTTTCATATATAAAGCGATCTTCCCAGGGACATCGTCGATAGTTCAAATCCGCGTATTCTCCGTACGGATACTTCCATTTGAGTGATCAATTATTCGATTAATCATAATCAGATCAATAAAAAAAGACAATTTTTGACACTTTTAGTATAAACTTTGTTGCAAATCATTGTGAAAAGATTTAGAAAAAGATAATAGACTATAAGATAGAAAAATTCAGCTGCGTTTAGTAGTTATTAATTAATTTGTGAGATACAATTCACGAGGACATATAGTAACAACGAATGAAATTGTGAAAGCGAATATTATGGCGAATCATCATCCTTCGTACGATTTTGAGGACAGAAGTCAAAGGATCCGCCATCGAGTTGGTACTGCGTCAAGACCTGCAGATTCCACTGTGGCTTGTACGAGGTACTATCTCACTTCTTTTTTCAATTGAAATCACGGTCACATTGATATATCAAATTTAGAAACTGCTGATTTATTATCAGAGAAAATAATTAATTTGAATATAATTAATTATAATAAAGTGTAATATTCCACTTATTCCACTGATTCCATTTTAACTTTTTCAATTAAAATTTAAATTTAGTAAAGAAATATCATATTAGAATCGTTCGAACGCGCGTGCAAATATAACAATTGCAGATTTTTGTAATTTGTAGCAAAGAAAGATATGTTGAAATTTTTATATTATTTTTGATATTATTATTAATTTTAACAATAAAGAATTAATTAAAGTCTGTATCAGTATAAAATATTTCCTTTCAAAAAAATATGTTAAAAATATTTGATCTTACATATGGAATAATTTCTTAATGTATAATTAATTACGAGTATATGATTGCTTTATATGTACAGGATGTTTAATAATTACTGGTACATCATCAGTGTGCAATTACAGTGGAAAAGTCCTCTACTGATTTTCGCAATAATTAATGAGAAATTTGACTAAAAATGACTAAAAATCGAGTATCCCCTTACTTGGCTTATAGGCAAATGCAAAGAAATACGAACGTCCAGCACTATGCGTATTCGCGGTTACAAAAAACGCGGCGAAATGTTGGAGGTGTGCATCATATAAACGGATATATATATATATATATATATATATATATATATTTATTATAATATACTTCAATATTTCACCGCATGTACCATTAATTATCAAACAATTTGCGTATTGAATGCTATTTTAATTACGCAATAATTCATATATTTAATATAATTATTAGCAAAAAATAAAGAATGAAAATCTTCTTTTGTCATATATTATCTGCTGTATAAAAGAGTTTATTAGATAATAATTTTAAAACAAAAAAGTAGTTAAAACAAATAATTATTTAAAAAAGTTCTAGATTATTAAAATAAATCTCTAACGAACTGTAATCATGTTTTAAAATATAAATTGAAGAACAAAATACTATTATTGCATAATTTAAATACAATAAAAATGAATATTACTCCTTAAAAGGAGATAGTTTAGCGAATGAAAAAGTAATAGAAAAGTCATGCTATGAAAAAGTAATAGAATAAAAGTAATAATACAAAAAATAAAAATATATATATAGAATTTATAAGCATCATTCATATAAATATTTAATATGAGCATTATATAATGAAGGAATCGTCTAACCCAACAATTTCAAATTACTCATAAATTATTTATTTAATGAAAAATTATTTCAAACAAAAATTGTATGCTGTCAAAAGAAGTTTATAATACAGCAATCTTTGTTTCTTGTCATGTAGTTTTTTTTATCGAGATATATCACCATAATATAATTTAAAATTTACCTCTTCAATATTAATATAAATCAATCAATTATATAATAAAATGTAAAAATTGTTATGGCTTCATTAAACATAATAAAATTTGTTTTTATTAGTATAAAATTAGTACATAATATATAATATTTATATAAAACTATGTAACGCATTAACGATAACTTAGAAAACTGATGTATGCATATCACGTCATAAAAATAATAAAAATGTCATTTCTAATTAATTATATAAATACAAAATTTGCGTCAAATACCTAGGATCATATTATATAAATATCTAAGTGGCACAAACAAATTTCGTATTATTATAATTTTGCAGTACTCAATATTACGTGGGACACAATAGCGATATCACTGAAGAAGATTTGGCAGAATTACCTTCATGCGTTTATGCGGGCAGATCTACGCAACATGTCACACATACATCGCCACATACACATTCTCCCTTACACTATCATATGCCAGTTTCAACACCAGGTAATAAATAAATATTAGATAATTATAATAAAGCAGCATTATTGAATTTGAATTTTATCATATAAATTTTTCATTCAGATCATGATACAGATATGAATGGCGTAGAAGAGGGTTATTATCCAAATGGTAGTCCTTATAGAATTCAAAGACATGCAGCTAATATTCGTGAACGAAAACGTATGCTGAGGTAAGAAATTTTCAAAAACAATTAGCAATAAAAGAAATAAATCTTTGCGCGCATCAGAGTGTTTAATGAATTATTTTAATTGTCGACAAACTTCTCAAAAAATATGAAAGATATTGAAAAATGTTTTAAACAAAAATTGACATCCTAGTTATAAATCCAATTATTGCAATAAATATCACCATATGGTTCCGTGATCGAATTTATCCGGCGCGGATAATCGAAAAATTCTAAATTCGAACCCTGGCTGAAATTATTTTTTGCAACAGAATTTCACGTGAGAGAAAGAGGGCAATTGATATCATTTTTAATTATCAATTTACTAAAGAAAAAAAATTTGAACTCTGGCTTTAAACTACAACATTACAAATCCATTAAAAATAATGGCATTTGACAACATTCGAGCATTTTTGCTCGAATATTACACTGTTTTAATGTACATGACAGATTTCTAATTGCATTTCAATTGTTAATTCTTTAATATCGTTGAAGAAGCGTTGCACCTCGTTTTTAAATCCTTTACAGTTTTAGTTTTTCTAGTAAATATTTTACAATCAACATATCAACATCTTATTTGTTCGGTCAATAGTTTGGATTCTTTATTGTGAGTACTGTATGATCGCGAGTTTGATTTAATTAGTAGATTATTAGTAGATCATTTCATCTTTTAAAAATATAATGTGTCTCGATTATTAGTATCATTAGCTGGGTTATTAATACCATCTTTATTTAAAAATATATTGTCTAATGTCATACTCTTAAATATGAATTCTCGAAGAGCTTCTCTTAATAATGTTGAATATTCTATGCCTATATTGAATATTTAATGTTTCAAATAAAATTAGCAAAATTATTATATATATTGTAAAATGCACTATAAACCTTATTTTAAGAAATAATATAGAAGGTATGTAAATTATATGTAAATATATAGTATAAAAAAATTATATATAATAAAATAATATATAAGTATATAGTATAAAAAAATTTTTTTAATTTCCCTAAATTGTAATAATAAAATAAACTTGAAGCTTCTCAGATATTAAGATGTAAAAAAGATATCTCATAAAATAATTAGAAAAATGTTTTTATAATATCTAAAAACAGTTGATTTCAGAATTTGAAACGTTTTTTTAAAAATGTCTTTAAAATCTAATTTGAAAAGTCCTTAAAATGTCTTATTCGGGACATTTTATCTATAAACTTTTTATAATAAAGTAAAAATTAATATTAAGCTGGTAAAATATATGGAAAATATACATTACAAAATAATTGTATTATTAGATACTTGTATTACAAAATAATTGTATTACTAAATACTTTATTATTTATAGATCACATCTCTAAATATCTCACCTAGTCTAATTATAAATGTATGTAAAACTGGACTGCGTCCCATGTGGATGCACGTTTATGTGTGAATATTCATAAATTAATATTTTATTATTTATTTCAAAGTTTGCAAATTAATAAAAGACTTTTCTGCTCAATCTAATTTAGTTTGTCTGGTTACTTGATTGATGACATTAAAGCATCTTCAACGTAAGCCGCGCTCCTGTATTTGCCTCCAATTATTTTATTTCTCCGAAGAACGATAGATAAAAATGGGCCGCTGGAGCGGGAAATAAAAACGGTATTCTTTTTTTATAATTTTTCAGTTACTAAATTTGATTCTGACTTTTAAAAATTTTCAATTTGTCAGAAAAGTATTAAAATTAGTATACCTATAAAGCCATTAAATACATATAAGCTATGAAATTAGTATATTAATAAAAGTTTAAACTTATAATGAAATAAAGAGATATTTGTTGAACGAGTATTTGTAGACCACTGTCTAAATAGTGGCATATTTGTTTATAGTTCATACTTCCAAACATTTCGTCGCATTTCTAGGAATCGCGAATGCGCATAACACTAGACAATCTTGCTATGTGCTTAACATTTATCAATGAGTCAGATGGATACGCATTTGTTCGGCGATCTTTAATAACTACTTATTAATTGTGAAAAATTTCAAAATAATAGAAGACTTTTCTACTTAGTTTTACTCGCTCTACGTGCATACGAGCGTTGTCATCTTTTTAAATCGGATATCCTGTGTATGCAAGATGTCCGGTAATAACTATATTATCTCTCACAGTAAGTAAAGCGAGTTATATCGAATAGAAAAATCCTATACTATTTTGCGATTTTTGCAATAAATAAAAAATTATTAGTTTATACAGATCCGCGAATGAACGAGTATTTGTACAAAAAGACAGTCCAACATTATACACGCTTAGAATTGCTAAGTACGTGGCAATATGTTTGAAGACGTGCACTATAAACAGATATTCATCATTTGTAGATCACATCCAAATCCAATTTTATCATACACCTAGCAACCGTAAACTCTTTAATTATCATGAAAATTGTAAATAGTACGGGACTTTTTTATTTAATATTAATATCGTGAATAAGAACGAGTTATTAAAAATTAATATTAATATTTAAACTTATAACTCGTTGTTCTTGTTCACGAGAAGTGGTATGATTATTACTGAATACCCCCATATAATAATATATATATATATATATATATATATATATATATATATATATATATATATATATATATATATATATATATATATATATATATATATATATATATATATATATATATATATATATATATATATATATATATATATATATATATATATATATATATATATATATATATATGTATATATATATGTGTATTATATATATATATATATATATATGTATTATATAACATGTATTGTCCATGCATTAAATGAGATTGACTTTATATGAATAAAAAATTCAGTGATAATAGAAATAGTTTTATTTCATTGGAAATTTTTCCACCATTAATACAGCAAATAGTACGGTCAATCAATGACTGAAATTGTTTATAAAGATTTTTATACAATTTATCACGATTTTTTTTGAAAAAAATAGATTTTTTTCAAAAAAGAAACTTTCTTTGAAAAAAGAAGTTTCATTTATAGCGTATTCGATTTGTTGACTTCGAGCATAAGGGATGAAAAGACAGAGAGAAAAAGTTATTAAAAAAACATTAAATAAAAAGAGATAGAGCTAAGCTCGATTCGAGTCAGCAAATTGAAAACGCTTGTTAATCTTCAATTCGAATACAAAAAACAAATTTTCACAATTGCAGCTAATCATGATTTGCTGAAACTGTATTTCCTGTCAATGTCTAATAAAATATCTCATAAAATATTTATTTTCCAATTATCTTTCTGAAATAAAAATTAAACTTCCGTTGGCAACATGTATTATATACAGAGAAAAATATTTCTTAATTAGTTTGTTTGGATTTAGAAATTTGCTTAAATCCACAGAAATATATTGGATCATTGAAATAATCCAATCCGAATCAATGTATATGTTCAAATCGGTCAAAACAGCTAACTTACTCACCGAGCAATTGAATGTGATTGATATGTTCCACAGATAAGAATCAACCGCTCGGCAAGCAGACTAGCTGGTATAATCAGCTTGAATGTGTCCAATGTTTAAACTAAAAATGTAATTATTTGACTTTTAAACATATATTTTATATGAAAAGATTTGTTTAAAAAAAACTCTCGTTTTTTACTTAAACAATTTTAGTACATTCAAACGATTTCGTCATTTTTAATAAAAAATGTTAATTTTTTTTATTTAACACACATTTTTATATACATTCTATATATATATATATATATATATATATATATATATA